TTTCAATTTGAAGTGTCCTAAATTTTTAATGCAGATCAAACTACTAGATAATTTGTGAAGTCAGAGGGGTTGATGTATTGGGGGAAGTGAGAAGAGCATTTAGAGAGAATGAGGAACACGGCTGGGCCTCTAACTGAGATCCACTGATCTAAACCAAATTAAATCTTGTGGATGTGTGCTGCCCAGTAACACAGTAGGAAGTTTGGAAATGACTGAATCCGCCACTGAATTTACATCTATGAAGTTTGGATTGTAGATTCTGGGTTTGTAGTTGTTTTTTTATGTCGGCTGCTGAATGTTGAACATGATGTGGTTTTCAGTGTGCAGGAGCTCTGGCGCCCTCTAGTGTCTATAGGTGCACATCGCTGCCAGAGGCCCAATCCTGCATAGAGGATGGAATATATAACAGAAAATTATTTAATCCAGTTTTTTAATTTGTCTTTTTTACAGAATGGCATCAAAAACAATTCAGATAGTTTGTGTGGTTCTCAGCGCCATCGGGCTGATTGGGGTCATCATCTGCTGCTCCCTGCCTGAATGGTCTGTGGTCCATCATGATATAGAGGTAACAATATAATCAAAAGGCATTTATGGTTGACATTAGCATGATAGTTATGATCAGTTAACTTTTATACTTTATCAGCAACTATTTTATGTGTTATTGTATAATTTAACCAGAATGTCTTTATAACAACTGTTATAAAAATGCTGTAGAAATGAAACATAATATTGACTTTGCAGTTTTACGCCTCATCAGAAACGTACAGATTCCTGACATCATCTGTTCTTTTCTAAACTGTTTAAAGACTCAGTGATGTTAATTTATATAAACGTTTGGATGGGAGTTGAAAAATATTCTCAAAAAAATAAAATAAAAGAATAAAAATAAAAAGCATAATTTTGACATTCAGTAAAAAGAAATTAATTTGATTTTTCTATCTGATTTAGTATCATAGAAAATGTTTAACAAACTCAATGTAAATATCTGTTTCTCTGTGTTTGGGTGGATAGGAACTTCATGTAGGTCTGTGGAAGACGTGTATGAAGCAGGGAACTGGACCGCAGGCGTGCCTAACGCATGATGACTCCCTGATATCCTCTAAAATTCAGGCCTTAAGGGCCTTGACCGTCATCAGCTGCATCCTCTGTGGTCTCGGCCTCCTCCTCCTGATCTTTGGTTCCGACTTCACCCCATGTGTTCAGAACCAAGACACCAAACCCAAAATGATCCTGGCGGCCGCAGTGGGGCTGCTGCTGGCCGGCCTGCTGGTGATCATCCCGGTCAGCTGGCATTCAAATAATATGAGAAACATACCAGTGTTGGTGGTGGGAGTGATGCTGGGACCGAGCATCTATATCGGCTTTGTAGCTGGTTTGATGTTGATGCTGACTGGAGGTCTGCTCTGCTACTTAAGCAGATCCAGCAGCTCTGGAGGAACCGCCAGCTTCTTCAGCAACAGAGTTTAAGCTAAAACATACAGAATGTAGAGGCTTGATGGAAGGAACTGGTGACCAACAGACGGGCAGACAAGGGATAAATTTAGGTAAAAACTGGGAAG